ACTTCGAATTCCTTGAGAACATTTATTTAGCTGGAGTTATTCATTGCTATTCTTGAACTTGGTCAAAGGCGTTAGAATCACCTCAACACGTGTCTAAAGATCAGCGTTTGCTCTTGCACACATTTCAACTGTTCTGACCTTGGGAAGGTTATATAACGTCTTTAAATTCAGCTTCCCTGTCTGGAATGAGAAGTATCTCAGGTCTTGCAAGATTGTTGTCAGGCCAAGAAATCTTGACTAGGAAGCACCTCTTGTGTCTCTTGTACTACTGATACCTGCGCATGGTGGGGCCTGGCAGTCCTCAAGGCTCCGGAGTGTAACTTTGTCAGGGACTCAGGTACAGTGGCAAAGCCACTAAGCAGGGAGGGCAGGGGACATTGTGAAACGGCTCAGAATGGAGGCAAGGGTGGAGGCTGGAGAAGAGAGCAAGGCGAAGGAGTGTGGACTTTCTTTCTTTTTTTGGGGGGGGGGTCTGGTCGTGGGGCCTGAACTCTGGGCCTGGGCACTGTCCTTCAGCTCTTCAGCTCAAGGCTAGCACTCTACCACTTGAGCCATAGCACCACTTCCAGCTTTTTTATTTTCTGCTTATGTGGTGCTGAGGAATCAAACCCAGGGCCTCATGCATGCAAGGCAAGCGCTCTACCACTGAGCCACCTTCCCAGCCCAGTGTGGACTTTCTTTTAGGAATATCCTAGGAAAGATACCGAGGTTGCGGCATGGATAGCAGGCAGGGACAGCAATGGACGCGTGCAGTAGGTGGCTGTTTATTAATCTGATGAAGAAGTCATGGTCGTCTCCAGGTTGTGGCTGAAAGGAGTGGTGGACCAACGATCTGTTTCGAAGCTAGAGTTGTTCATCTGGAACAAAGCTAAGGTCTCACCCTGGTCTTATTTCCAGAATAAGACAGTGGACACACGCGCTTCTGGGAAGGGCTCTCCACTCTTTTTTTAAAAATTTATTTATTTATTTTATTGTGAAAATACTGTACAGAGGGGTTACACTTACATGGAAAAGATGACGAGCACATTTCTTATCCAGAGTTGTTGCCTCCACTCTTTCACAAAGAGAGGTTTGCTTGCACAGCCTGCATATCTTCCTTGTAACTCTTGGCTGAATTTTGGCCTGAAATCTCAGAATAAATAACCTCCCCTTTGAGCTCTAGTGTCAGTTGTTGTTTGCAAGTATCTGATTTAGAAACCAAGTTTTATGATTCAGTTTGCCTGCACAGCATTTAATCTTTGGAGTTGATATTTCAGTCCCCAAACTCACATCTATTGAGGAAGTCACAGACCTGCTTTTTGTCATGGATGTTGGGGTCAGAGAGCAGTGCCTGACTCACGGCAGAAGGTCAGCAGATAGATGCTTTGGAGATGAAATCTCACGACTCTTGGGGCTAGTCAGTCCCGGCTTACAGCTGCCATTGGCTGTCTCCAGCGCCTGTGGTCTTCCTGGTAGACCGAGGCAGTGCCTCTCCTAAATACCTGTGTGGCTCTGTGATCACAGTTCAGAAGGGAGGTGAGGGTTGATTCCACAGAGATTGCAGGGGTGTGAGGGAGTAGGAGCAAGACCCAGGAAGGAAGGGAAGGAGGTCTTCCTCATTCCCAGCCCTGTGAGCAGTGCCAGGGCTGCTGAGGCACCCCAGCAAAGCTGAGCAAAGCTATACTGCCCGGTGTGGGAATGGTGACTTTTCCTTCCTTCCTGTCAGTCTTCCTGATTACATTTTAGTCACATCTGCTTTCCTGCTGCTCCTTAAGACAGCCTCTTATATTGAAGTTTCGTTGCATCCCATTAATTAAGCTTCATCCTTTTGCAGATTATGAACCTGAGTTCAGCCAGTGAGAGCAGAGGGACAGGGCCTGCTGGGTTAGGGACAAAAAGAGAGCAGCCTGCCTGCTCTGTGTCATATATACAGATATATGTAATGTATACTATATATAGTATATATAACTAAAACAATATAGTATAATACATATTTATGTAACATATACTACATAGTATATATAATTAAAATAATATAGTATAATACATATATATGAATCATCTTTAAGTAGTTGTACAAAGGAGTTGCCATTCAACAAAGCGGTTTAAGAACATGGTGCATCAGTATTTCTACCCACCCCTCCCAACCCACCCCCTTCCCTCTCTTTTCATAATTTTTTCGGATATGTGTTGAAAATTTTTGCTGTTTCACAAAGAAGTTTGTGGATGGGATGCTTCTTAATCTGTGCCGTCCTTCAATATTTCACTCCTCTTTGGCCCACCTCTTCGCTTGTTTTCCTCAGTTCTGTGGTAGACACAATGCAGCCTTACCAGCGTTTACCCCTCTCACCCTTGCGTTTGTCTTCCCCTCTCCCCTCGGTCCCACCCCCTCTTGCAGATACCCATTTCCTGGTACTTATTTTATTGGGCTTTGACTTAGCGTTTCTAAAGAAATAAACTGTTTGAGCTCTCCATAGTCTGTTGTACTTCAGTTAATTTATTTGTAGCCACTTGCATACCACTCAGTATGTTTATTTATGGATTTATAGGCACATTCCAGCTACCACAAATGATGGAATCCGTGTAACCTTATTTTTCTGGGTCTGACCTATTTCACTTAATGTAATTTTTCCAGGTCTTTCCATCTCCATATGAATGGTACAGTATCATTCTTTGTAATGGATGAGTAAAATTCCAGGATATATATATATATATATATATATATATATATGTGTGTGTGTGTGTATATATATTACATTTTCTTTTTTTCAGTTGAGTAATGTATATATGCATATATTATTATTGTAAAGGTGATAGACAGAGGAGTTTTAGTTACATAGGTCAGGTAATGAGTACATTTTTTTTGACAGTATCATCTCTTCCCTCCTTTCCTCCCAGTTTTTCCCTCCTGACCCCCTTCTCCCACAAGTTGTATAATTTCAACGTAGTGTCTAGTGAGTGTCATTGCTGAATTACTTCACCCTTTGTCCCACCATTTCTGTGTTCCCCCTTAAACTCCCCCAAACAGATAAACTTACATCTAAGACAAAAGGTTCAGAAATCAAAAATAGTGACATTCATTGATCCACTCATCCACCAAGGAGCATCTGGGCTGATTCCATATCCTGGCTATGGTAGACAAGGATGCCACTAACCTAGTATGGTGGTGACTTTAGTGTACCCTTGTTTGTGCTTGCTTGGATAAATGCCCACGAGCGAGATTGCCGGGTCGTAGGGAAGTTCAACATTGAGTTTCTTGCAGAACCCCCATATTGCTTTCCAGAGTGATCAGACAAGCTTCCATCCACCAGTGGTGTAATACAGTTCCCTTATGGGTACATCCTCGTCATCATCTGTTATGTTGGTTTTCTTGATAAGGCCATTCTAACTGGAGTGAGGTGGAGTACTAGAGCTACTCTGTCTCTTGCTTGCTGGTGGCACACAGCCTTGTGCAAAAGTAAAAGCTTTGTCTTGCTGAGTACCTTTCGAGTTGGTGTCCCTTCCTTCTTACAGGACACGCCAACATCCTGAGCCAGTCTTAATGCCTCAGTGCTGTGGAAGCTGGGCTACTGCACACACCCTCCAGGGAGGAAAGGCAGCTCCATGCTGGGCAGCCTTCAGTCTTTTAAGAGCGGAGGGCTTTAAAATTTTTTAAATGATCTGTGTGTAGTTGTACAAGCAGTGTCAGCTCAGCGCGAGTCTGTGAGTACAGCGCATCTTGGTCAGTGGCACTCCTGTCATCATCATCTGGCTCTGTTCTCACAAATGTGAGCACTTAACTTGGCCTACCTTTCCTTTCTCCATTTGTCTGCCCCTCCTCCTGGACCTCATCCTCCCCAACAATACATTCCAGCTTCCTGGTATTCATTTTGTTAAACTGTAATTTAATGGACTCCTCCCATACTTTAGTTAACATGTTTTTGCATATGTGCGTATGACCCTGTATCTGTTTACTTATATGTATATTTATTTTAGATTGAACTTCCACATTCAAGAGAAAGCATGCAACCTTTGTCTCGCTTGACTTATTTCACTTCCAGAATTTTCTCCAGGTCCACCTATAGGATTTTGGTGGAAATGGGCAGCTCAGAGACAGATTTCTCATGTGGCCTCATCTGTACACGCTCCTGCGCACATGCTCACATCTTGGCCATCTTTCTCCTCATTAGCAATTCTGCCCAAGAGGAGACATAGTGAATAAAAAGGTGCTGAAACTCATGAGGCAATTTATCTCCTTTGTCACAGGAAGGATGGAGTTGGCGCTCCAGTGAGCCTGACGTTGGGGTGGCAGGACCATTCTTACGTCATTGCCCTGGTCTTCCTGCCCTCCCTGCCTGCTGCCCGCCCCATGTGGGCAGTATAACATTTCCTAAATTTTCTTTTTGATTTCTCTGTAAATGTTAACATTCCAAAAATAAGGATGTCATAATATTTGCTTATTTAGAGATAAGAGCTCTTCAACATGGTTTAAATGGTTTAGCTTTTATTTTAGCAATAATCCTATGTTGGGATTTTAGACCTTTTGTTCTCTGTTTGGGTGATATCTGCAAACCCTTTACTAATTTCCTTTAATAAACCCTTGTGATGCTGCCCTCCAGTGCTGTGGTGAAGGACTTCACGGAGGAGTGTAGCTCTGTGCGGCAGCCAGCACAGAGCATCCTGGGCCTCAAATGTGGTCTTTATGTAGGGTGTTTCCTGGGTTGCTTCAGAGGTGGTGCACATGGCTGCCTTCCCTGTTTGTTTCTCTCCCAGGCCGGCCCTGCTGTGGATCCTCCTTATAGAATGGGAATTACCTTAGAAGGGTGGTAGGGCAGTTCTGTGAAGGAAGTCTTGGGACTTGGTCAGTGGTTCAGTTGTAGAAGAGATGCAACCCATGGAGACAGCCAACTTTCTGTCTCTGAGCAATTAGCAGAGAGAGATGACTAAAGCCATGTTGATCTGTTGAGGGACCACTTGAGAGGGTTCTGGGTGCTCCCCCCCCATTCCTCAAGACTTACCTTTCTGTCTCCTTGTCCCCTCAGCCTTTCCGCTGTGCTCATTGTCATTACTCATGCAACATCTCTGGCTCGCTGAAGCGGCACTACAACAGGAAGCACCCCAATGAGGAGTACGTCAACGTGGGCAGCGGGGAGCTGGTGGCTGAGGCACTCATCCAGCAAGGTAGGTGGGGCAGCGGGCGCTGCTCTGTCTCAGGCCCTCCCCTCCCCCCGCCAAGCAGAGCTGCTGCCACCTTAAGGTTCAGTCTAGTGGGTGAGCCTTGCATGTCAGTATTGTCCTCCCCTCCCCCTTACACCTGTCTTCCAGCACACGTGTTGCCGGTTAATATTACGACAGCCTCAATGGGAATCCAAGGCAACAGCAGCACAGAGTTCCTCACAAAGTCTCCAACTGCCCAGCAGTGTACATTTTTCAGTACAATTGCACATAGCCTTTGAGTAGAAGAGAGTGTCATTTAATTTTTTAAAATTCAACCTTGATTGACAGAAACATTGTCTTTTCTATAGTGTCTTTCTAACTTACTTTTTTTTTTTGGTATCAGTCTGGAACTTGAACTCACAGCCTAGATGCTGTCCACTGCCACTTCTTGCTTTTTATTTTTTATTTTTTGGTAGTTAATCGGAGGTAAGAGTCTCATGAGCTTTCCTGCCCAAGCCAGCTTTGAAATTATGATACTTAGATCTCAGCTTGCTGAGTAGCTAGGATAACAGGCCTGAGCCACCATTGCCCGGTCTAACTTTTACAGGCTGTCTGCAATACAATATCAAATATAAATACTTTATATAACACTTCTATTGTGGAGCATGTTAGGGTTTCTAGATTTTTATCTTTTCTGCAACTATAATTATGCTATTGTAAAAATTTATTTCAACTACAATAATGCTGTTGTAAACATATTTGAGGGGAGTATTCCAACAGACTAACTCCTTTGGACAATTAACACAGTTTAACGAAATGAATACCAGGAAGCGGAGACCTATGTTGTCTGTGAGGGTGAAGTGAAGAGGAGGAAGGCAAACCAATGGAGAAGGGAAGGGTGGGCGGCAGGTACCATCGCAATATTCAATGTGCATATGTGAAAGTGGAGCCAGGTAGATGGGTGGGATTGGGAGAGATGGTGGGGGCAGGGGGGGAGGAGGGGAGATGCAGGGGTGACATTGGTCAAGACACATTATACTCAAAAGCTGATATGTTGAATTGAAACCCCTTATATGACTACTTAAAGATGATAAAAAGTCATATTTGCAGATGAGCATTTTTAGGGTTACACACAGATTACTTATTCCTCCTGAAAAGGAAATACATTTTAGAACATTTAAAGTAATGAGAGTTGATAAAAACCCTGATTAGTGGGGCTGGGAAGGTGGCTCAGTGGTAGAGCGCTTGCCTTGCATGCCTGAGGCCCTGCGATTCCTCAGCACCACATAAGCAAAAAGAAAAAAGCTGGAAGTGGCGCTGTGGCTCAAGTGGTAGAGTGCTAGCCTTGAGCTGAAGAGCTGAGGG